AATAACTGAGAGCGTATACTCCTACAAATTCTATCTAGTTTTTATGGAACTTTACGAAGAAGCCAATAAAGTATTCAATTACTTACTATCGAATTCAAGATAGGAATAACGATATGAATATTCTACGTAAGACATCGTTCTGCTTTTAACTTCTCCAACTTTTAATAATTCCAATTAAGTGTATTTCTTTTACCTTTTTCTTTTTAATAGACCTTAATAACGGAAAATTTTTAAGAAAAATTTAATTCGCTCAAGAATATTAACAAACTTAAGCGTAAATTGTAAAAAAAAAATATGTAAATAATGATCTTAATTATTTACTACTTCTTTATATTCAAAAAGGCAAAAATAGGTCCTACAGAAATAGTTTGACACGTTATGTAATGCGTATGGCGACTCACGCTAGCATGTTTTGTAGTTTTTTTTTTCCTTAGCTGAGCCTAGCCCAGATTAGTGACTAGCAGAAAGAGATCAATTTAGTATGAACTGATATATAAAATTACTTAAGATACTTTGTATCCTTGTCACTTTTCTCATTCTAAAATATAATAACTATGAGTTGATGTTAATGAACGTTTGTTGCTTAATTGAGCTACCGAGTCAAGTCCAATTGTTGAGCAAAAACCCCCCCGAAAAATGAAGCCAAATTTTTAATATTTTCGATTTTTAAATCCATATATTGTCATCCCGTTCTCTTATATACAAAACGTGTTGAAAAAGTAACGCTTGATAACTTTGTTCTAAGAAAATCCATTAGTCAAGTTGTTTAGACAAGCTCGAACGGCAAAGTTTGGAGGGTCATCCTTTTTTTACACAAAATACTAAATCACTAGAAAGTATAAAACTTTTAGAACCAAGGGAAAGTGTACCTCGCGTAATTAGGTATATAATTTATCAAACTTTAAAGTTGTTTTCTTGTTTATAACGTTCGTGACGCTTTTATATGAATTTTTTTATTTTTTAACGCCTGATTTAATTACTATAGCAAAACTGCGAACTATATTCCAATTAATTGTAACAGGCGTTTTATTTCTTGATAATTTTACAATATCATTATTTAATGTAGTATTCTTTGTGGATAATTACGTTCGGAATTTCTGACCCTCGTCATACAAAGGAATTAAAAAATCATTTCAACTTTGTGAAACTAGAATGGACCGCGCCAGAATGGTTTCAGAGTCTACTGCAATTATTCTCTCCATACCTTTTTCTGCGTTACGTGTAATCGTTTTGCATAAAGTGCATTAAATAAAATATTGTAAAATCGACATCTTTAAACCTGGTATGTGATGTGAAAAATGAGCCAATTTAAATTTCTCGCAAGACATCAGATTCAGGAACCATTTTCCGTGAACATGAATTTTATTTCTGAGCGCTCTTAATGTTGTAGGATGGAAAGTAGAATTTGCTCGTTACATTTAAAGAAGTATTTATCACTTGACGTAGCATGGCAGCTCGTATAAATTACTTATATTTTATAGATTCTAGCTGTGCCCGCGACTTCGTCCGTATTGGGTCCTGAATTGGGGTAGAATTTTTAATTATTGAGGCTGTTTATTATTGTATGAAGGGGGCGTTTAAGGCAGCCAATCTATGGTAAGTGCTCCTTTGCCGCAACACTCTCACCTCACATCACTCCTACTCTAACTCCCACTCTCATTCCTACACTCAGTCCCACGATCACCCCCACGCCCACGCCCACTCCTATTCCCAAAAAGCCAAAGAAGAAAATTTCATTGTTCTAGTTTCAAAAACAACGAATTTCCATACAAGCTTTCAGCCCCTTTTTACCCCTTACAACCCCCTTTTCGAAATAAAGTAGCCTATGTCCCTTTCATGGTCTAGACTCTAGACCATCTGGATACCAAATTTCATTCAAATTCGTGCAGTAGTTTTGGCGTGAAAGAGTAACAGACAGACAGACAGAAAGAGTTACTTTCGCATTTATAATATTAGTAGGGACTAGTAGGGATTGTATTCATACTCTACGAAAACAAACATTTATACAGCGCTGAACCCTGATGGTCGTTTGTTAAAAAAACAGGCTTATATTGTTAAACTTTAATTTTATTACCATGTAAAAAGTTAGCTCTGACATCTTTCCAGTTGATTATTTCCAAGATTTAAATCGCTTTAACGCACTCAAATGGTCCAAGATGGCCGCAGACAGCCTGAATTACTTACAATCTTTAAAGTCAGGATATAGATTAGACAATCCTCGTTACAGAAGCCCTGCGGAACTTCGCGTAAATGGAAAATAATTGAGCGCCATCCGAGCCCGACAGGGGAATGAACATCGGGGAGAAATCGTTATTGGATAACTTCTACTTTATCAATATTAGACGCTGATTAAGGCACCTTTATGTTATTTCAATCAGACAATTGTCACACTGCAGGAAAAATTCCCGTAACAATATAAGTGAGTAAAACATTGTGTAACAGTCTAGACACTAGTGTATTGTATAACATTTTGACACGTGCTCTCTGGTAAAGAAAACATAGAAGGAAAACTGACTTGTCCTAGAACGAACAGTTAAAAAAACGTCACATATTCTTTGACCAGCGTTGTAAAATCACAACCGTATATGCGATTTCCTGTAAGATTCAGTAATAGTGGAGAAAAGAGAAGCATGGGGTCGACCTGTTGAACAGTGAAATACCAGCCATATAGCAACTAAACAAGATGCACTGTCCACTGTGTGTCTTGGTTTTATATTTCTGTTTTGCATTTCGATAATCCACATGTCTGTCCATCTGAGGACGGTGGTCCGTGACACGGACGGAATTTCGACGTCCCATTTAGTATCCAGATTTCATAACGTACTTCACCATACTTCAGAAAAATTTACAAATTCATTAGAAACATAATTTAAAAACCGAAATTAAATTGAAAAAATTTTTGGCCTGGGGCAGGACTTGAACCGGCATCGTCAGCGTTCCGTGGTGTTGCTCTCTCATTAGAGACATGTTGGATCCCGTGGACCCTTCGATTATTAGCCATAAATAGCTAACATTACCCCAACGAGCCCGCAATAGTTATGTTATAGTGATAAACACACAAAAATATCTAAATCAACAACAAATAAACAAACCTAATAGCTTGATTTAGGTTATATTTTAAAGAATAAGTGAAGTTGCTTCGGGCTTATTCTTTGATTTCCCACGAGCGAGAAGTTACAGTAAGTCGGAAAACCTGTCGGTTTGTTATAAGGTTTTACCTGTACCAGAGTCCGCAATAAGCTTTATTCAGTTAAAGTACAAAACTGTGTCGGACGAAATACGTGCTATTTATTTTATCGAGGCAACGTTTAAACTAAATTCTATTTACTTATTTTCTAGATTGATTCGTTTATAGTACAGCATATAGCTTAAGTGCCATTATAGTATTTTAAAATACGATTGTTACTCGCAGATGAAATAAATAAGTTTCGCTTTTTACTTATATTAATATTTATATTAGTATGTATTAATAAACTTTGTTTTAAGTAAAGTATGAAATGATCTTTTGCCATTTACAAAACAATTTGTAAAAAAAAGACAGCCACTATTACACTCAGGTCAACATTTACCGTGACATTGTTATCTATTTACAATTATTACCTAAATACAATAACTTCAACACGTTGTTTGAAAATAATATCACAATTAGGTTATATGACATCACTACATCTGCTGATAAATAAATGGCTTTTGTTATTTTATTATCAATAAACAAAGAAGTATGAATAACTGGAATTTTCAAAGAAAGCTTCTAAGAAAAAATCTAAAGAATTTCGTATGCAAAAAGCTATTCTCATTCACAGGGGATTATACATAACATCGCAACTTAGGATCTCCTTTGAAGAGGCCAAGATAAAATTTATGTCTGAGACTTCGGAACCAAATTTATAGAAAGCGAGGCATTCTAATACAAATATCAATGTAAGTAAAGATATAAATTGTGTACTAGTAACTTAATGCATATATAAAATAAAGCTATTTACAAACGACATACATACATATATTCTCAGGTTATTAAATATTATACATATTTTAATTTAATAAATGCAAGCTACACTCCGGAGTTAAAATACATTACGTTGTATTCTATACGTTGTAGTCTTTTTTCGGCCATGTTGTAGTGAATACAACATGGCCGAAAAAAGTTCTTCTTATTTTCATAAATAGACTTTAGAAGAAGGGTTCTTCCACACTTGTCATAGCTTGCTTTCATATTATAATGATAACAAGGGATAAAGATAAGAACTGAAATTTTCAAAGCTACCGGTTGTGAGGAAGCTGACAGGAGCGTGCGTAACTATTCGGGCCACGCCCCCGCGACATCTTCAATCAGACGCAATCGTGATGCGCGCGCATTCTTATCCCAAGTTAGGGTAAGAATACACCGATTGATCTTTTTACGAAGTTCACGCTATTCTGGTTTCTTCATGATCCCTAGTCTAGGACAATAGCTGAGTACATTGATATAAATAGGCTTTTTTTCCATATTTTTAACAAAACCAGTGAATTATGTCGATTCGTGTTTCCGTTTTGTAATATTCATTTATGAGTTTAATTTAGTCATGCTAAGTAATCATCTCAAACAGCCATAATAATATTGCCATTAGTAAAACTTCATAGCGTTTAGAGAAAAACGACGCCTGTTATAAACGCACCATACTGTGCACAGCCGTCGCTCGCCAAAATTGAACTACGTCACGCGTGCGCCGCAGTCACCATCTAGCGGCAGAACTGGTTCTTCTCTCACACCTGCCCTTCTCGTACGACAAGACAATCGACATTCGCCGTCGCGCTCGCACCAGTGGCACGTAAAAATAACCTCAAAATATCTCGTGAATAACGCAATCAGTATCTTTTGTATTGATATTTTATAACAATTATAGAGACAGTGTTTGTGGTGACAAAACAGTGTGAATGAACGTCGACGACAATACACAGTTTGGATTTATTAATGCGTAATTATTGAGTGTACGAAATCAGAAAGTTTCCTGAGAGCGACAATGTTCTTTTTGGTGGGCTGTCGACGGGCAGCCCCCAAATATTGTGCCAGAATGTGGTGGTGTTTATTTATTTGTGTTACGTACAGTAATATAATTGGTGTGTTAGGTTCAAATGCAACAGCAGTAGCTGGTAGTGAGTATTTTTACTTAATTAGCTTTAAAATATGTTCAAATGTTCATGTAAATAAACAATATACATTTTGAGTATTATAGTAAACTTTAGTATATGAGTAGAATACAAACTAGTTTTTTCAATGCCATAACGTACTAAGAACAGTATTGTTTTCTGCACAGCACTACTGTTTAACTACGTTAATTACGTACACTCGATTCTCATAAACTAGTTTGCTATTTATAATTCCATAGTATTGTAATTTCCGCCTGTTTTTTATATTATTGTTTACTTTCCAAAGTATCGCGTTACGTCGCATTATCATTAGAAAAACTTGTTTTTTATCCGATAACGATAGGGTTAACTATCAAAGTCACGCCACCCAAGATGACATAATTCATTCATAGTGACTCCTTGAGGTTTATTTAATTTTTCCGACGGTTATATTAACATATTCAATTAAAATATTCTGTCATTCTAACATTACAAACACAGAACAACTTAGTGTAGATCTAAGAATAATCTACCTTTGCTTATGGAAAAATAGAACCAGTGTAGATTATGTTGGTGTATTTAAACTTAATAGGTACGGACCAAGTAGTGCTAATGTTTAAACGAAACAAAAAATAATTTACTCTTTAACACGTCATTTTACTGTTATTTGATGTATTTAGTTACGTCAAACCAATAGAACCATAATTTATTCCTGCAAAAAATAATATGCATGGTGTCAACCTACAGCTCTGGAAAAAGTTCCTTTTGATTTTTTTTTTTTTAATTAAAACCGGCAAACGTTTTGTTATTTCTAAAATTAACATTATTATGTTGATACAAAATTTATATTGATGCATTAATTTCGACCAAATGTGATTACGATAAAAACGGTTCGTGCGAGTTACTCCTAAATCATTAACATAATACGTACCTTATTGTTGTGGGCATTTTTTTACATCATTCAAAGATCATCCTTTCATACATGTTTTTGGGTTCCTTGAACCGTTATTCGCACTTGCAAAGGAAGCCCTTATGAATAATTTTCCCTGTTTCTCTACACCTCCGCTGTTACTTCGCTCATATTGATCGAAGCGTGAGGTACCTACCAAAACATTTTTTTTTCAATTCGAACCGGTAGTTCCTCTGGTTAGCGCATATCAACAAATAAAATCTTCAGAGAGAAAAAAATATGTTTTATGTAACACTTAAACTGGTTGCCTAGCAAAGGCGGATAGCAATTATAATATAATTATATATTTATTGTAATTAAGACTAACCTTTAGGAAATCATTATGAATTTGTTTTTTTTGTTCGCCTTTAAAATTTTCTTTTTGAGTTTTTTTTAGCTGTGCGTCAGTTACAAAAATATTTCATTTGCCTTTATTCTCATAATGTTCCTTATTTTTTTAATCACTATTATTTCATTTTTTTTTCTTTTAACGTTCGATGAATACATATTATCACTACATAGTATAAAAAAAGTCTCTTTTAGTGTCCCTATGTGCACTTCAATTATTAAAACTACGCACCGGATTTTGATGCGGTTTTTTATATAAATACAGTGATTCAAGAGAAAGGTTTTTTATATACAACGTTTGTAGTTTTCGGTTGTATATTTAGTATTAGTAATCCACCCGAGCGAAGACGGGGTAGTACAATACATGGCATTACTTTGTTGCTAGTGATCGTCGTTGATATATAGGATAAGTAATTCATTTTCCAAAAATAATAATGAATAAAGGAAAAACACCGAGTAACTTTATTTTGTACAATTGTCTAATATTGAATATTAAAACATAGATATGTTAAAATAAATAGGTATATGCTACAACATAAATTATAGTTTAATATTTTGCTATCCTTTTATGTAGAATAGATCCTAATGGATAAACTAGGTAGTTATACAAATGGGGAATTAGGATCTTATACATTATCTTTGTTCTTTGATTACGTACTTAATTTTATTATGATATTCAGCCAAGTGCAGAATAACGATAGCAATACAATATAGTGCAGTAAGTAATATAATATAACTCTTGTATAATTTGTTTCTTATAATAGCGTTTTTGTATAGATCGTTCACGTACCTAAACGAGAATTGGCATTTTGGGACTAACTTAGCGCAACCATAAGAACTTGTAGCGTTTAATATATCTGATTTAAATCGAACCCCCCTTTGATTGTGACTGTTTTATCTCACCTGAACGTATGTATGTGCGAAACGTAGAAACACGTATACGTAGTACGTCGGTTTACTGAATCAATCGTTAGGGACGTTTTCCTTAAACAGAGCAAAGTACAACGATTTAGTGGCGCATAGCCAATTTATAAACAACTATTATTAGTTGTTTATTTACGACGCCATTTAAGACGTTACTGCATTTCCCGCTCGGCGTAATAATTATTCAACGCCGCTTTTTAATGGTAATGAACAGATTTTGTCGCGTCATAAAATTGCGATCCGTGTAGTCATAATCTCAATTTTGGCACGCCGCAGCTGACGGGGCGGCTATAAAGGCCTTCAGATGAAAGAATACAATCGCATTGTGAAGCTATAAAACGGCTTTGTGCCGAAAGAAGCTGTCACTTTGTGAAAAATGAAAAAGGAATTGCACTTGTCATAGTAAAGTTGTATTGACGGCATCCTGATATTTCCTTTCTTCCTCTCTCGCCTTCCAGAAACGGCTACAAGGGACTCTGAAATTAATGTAATTACTTGGATACCGCAAAATAATTTAATTTGCAGTAGGTAGTATCCGATGGAAGTTCGGTTTTTGGGCAAATCCGAAGCCGATTAATCGGTTTTGCACCCACTTTCGATAAAAGGTTTGAAACTCAAAGTCTTGATTCCTGAGTCCCGATTTAACAACTGTCTTAAAACTATATTAGCTGATATCAAATAAACTAAATGTCAAGATCTTGAATTTCGTTACGATCGTCGCGGTTTTGTAAATTACGATATTTACAAGGATAACGATGTTTGCGTTTCTTCGATTTCGACGTGGCTCTGTGCACATGTTTCAGCCTTGGCGATGGCGAAGATAAGTTTCATTTTATAGCAGTAAGGGGTTGTCCATTAATCACGTGACCTTTTTTTTGAATTTTTAAACCCCCCCTCCCCCATTGGTGATACGTAGTGAGGTTTAAGACCACCCCCCTCCCCCTTCTCAACATCACGTGTATTTTTAGTACCTACAAAGAATCTTAAAATCTTCTGAATATTATCTTAATATAAATACAGGTATAAACTATAATCTTATTTTATTCTGAAATTAAGGACCATAATAAAAATGTCTACACCATTTGTTTAAAAATCGCGCGTTTGACGAAAAAATAAATACACGAGATATCTTACTATACCCCCCCTCCCCCTTGTGTTATTTTAGTGATTTTTAATCAACCCGACGACCCCTAATATATTTCAAAATGTTCAAGTTTTTATTTATATTTCTACATGTAATCTAATATATCGCAAATTTTATTTCTTATCTGACAGCAGACAACTTTTTGTCATTCATCATGAAGTAGTCATTATTCAGTTACTTTCCTTATTAATTCAATAAGGTTTTGTTATATTACTAGCCCCCGAGTTAATACGCTTTAAGTAAGACAAACATAGTTCGAGAAAGTTTAACAAGAAGTTAGATTTCTATCCAACTCGGAACTTCAGCAAATGGCTATAGCCGAGCAATTCCTTTGCTCTGTTTAGAATCGTTCCTGTAATTTATACCAGTGACGTCTCATGCTATCGCAATGCAATCTTAATGTGGACTTTGAATTAATAACCATTATTGGAATGTATTTCTTTGATGCGCAAACAATTCTGTTATGACTGTCACGAGCTAAATCCGTGTACAGATCAAATTCATTTGCAGGTTCAAATTGCACTATTCTATACCATTCTGGAATGTTATACCTAATTTAGTTTAAACCTTCCGAATTTAATAGACAGGCATTGCAATTAACTCGCCCGAATATATAAGAAAGCTTTTTTTCATCGTCCTTTGATAAGCAATTGAAAGTTTCTGTGTTAGCGTAAAAGATCTGATATGAGAAAAGTTTGCGATCGTGTTGTGGGTTATTGGCAATTGTCTTGAGCGAGTAATTGGGCTAATCTTTAAATAAAATTTTTTTTGTCTTCTTTCTCATAGCAACGCGTATTGAAGCGGGCCTTGCCTTTAACGTCACAATAACAATTTCAATAGGTCTCGTAGCACCGACGCTCCTTGAAGAGACGCTTTTTAAATAAGTCGCAAATGCAGACGTTTCGAAAATGAGCAACTAACGAGAATAGTTAAACGGACCTGTAATTTGCATACAAATTGGCTTTCGGGGATAAACGGTCCATTTGTATTCAACCACAGGAACCCAACTCAGTGGCTGAAGAGTATTTATCCAGTTTCAGATTTAAAACGGGCTCAGCTCATCTGCTTATCGATATTACTGCTGAGGACTCGCTCTGCTCGAGGGATGTAGATTTGCTAATTTGATCGGTGGGCCCGTATAATTTCAGCTCATTCCAGTAACCGGGGAGATTGAGATTGTAGTGCTAGTGCTTCGTTTACAAGTTGATCTATTCTCTTTACTCTTGAATCCTTTATAATGCAGAAAACTTTAGTATTAATAAATTGTGTAAGGCTTTCACGGCCATCGTTCAGCATATCATCGGCCGAACAGCCCGAAAGACAATGATAAACTTTAGTATTGCTAAACACTCACCTATAAAGAGGACGTGTAACTAATAAAATGTATGTATGAAATGGTGCCGAATATTATAATCTATAAAGCTGTTTGTGTGAGCGCGCTAATCTCAAGAACTACTGGTGAAATTTAAAAAAAAACCGGGGCAAAATTTTTCGTTGTGTAGGCTACGAAAACGGTTTCAGATACCCAAAAACATGATCTAAAATGTCCACGACACTATGTATCTTTTTTTATATGCGTATCAGATTAAATTGAACGCGGACGATGGGCAACAGCTTAAATTTAGAGGTGAACTAGAGGTTTGCAAAAAAAATGTTAACACATGTAAGTTCAGTCAATTTCGCTGTTCTGTCGTAACTTTTGCGAGTCCCCAGTTCCCCTAGGTCCGATTAATTTGCACTCAATGATATAGAGACGAGGGTACTTCATGGAGATTGGCTGTCAACCCGGTTTGACATCCGCATTTGACTGCGACGTGCAGTAAAAACAATGAATTACGTAACACAATATAAAGTATTGTGTTCACCTATGTCTCATTCTCAGATAGTTTGTTTAGTCTCTCAGTCTCAGATTAGTTCAGTAGGAAAATTTATCTTCGTATTATGTTTACACAAAGATACGTCCATTCTGAGATAATATTATATTCCTTGAGAGAATAAAGTCTAGCATTAACTAAAGGTTTTAAACAAATTAAAATTCACAGTAGACTGCATCGTATGTTTACTTTTTTATAAAGATATATAATAATAAAAATAAAGATTGTATTTCCGTTCTCTTATTTCATTTGAAAAAGAGGTATATACAGAAGATAAATTAACGCTTAACACTTGTCTCTAGTTGTGTAAGGTTGAATATATTGAATGTGCTTGAAGATTTTTAGTCTTAATATAATTTTTCAGGGCGCTTTGCAGCACGCGTTAATAGGTTTTGCGGAGGTATTGAAAAGATTAAAGCTTGCTCTTAACGAAGTGCATTTAAGCATCGTACAATTTAAAAATTAAAATAGGACATCATTGTTTGCACATTGCATGCAAGCCATCTTTATTGGTGAAAAATTTTACGTGCAAGATGAAGTGTTTTTAACAAAACAAAGTACGAAACAGTATTTGTTATTGTGTTTTCTTTATTCTTTTAACACCGGTACGTATCTTAAGGAATAAGAGAGGTTATGTACATGTCAATTCTTCGAAAATATAGGTTTGACATTCGTAATCATTTACATTGTCAAGGGAGCGAAAGGTCTCGCACTACCGCATATAATACCATATGATATCTACGTTCTTTAGTAGGCAGAAATACTTAGTACATGTAAATTCTAAGATAAGCATCCTAAACGTCAGAACCCATATCAAAACGTTTCAACGCATGACATAGTACCTTAGTACAAGGTATTATTCATGAAATTATCGCCTTATCATTTGGTACAAAGCGGTTCATTCAAGTGTTATCAGTGATACACGAGTCATATTCAACTTAGACTTAAATACATCAAATTATATCTTTAGTAATATATCAAGCTGAAGAGTTTGTTTGATCGTGCTAATCTCAGGAACTACTGGTTCGAATTGAAAAATTAATTTAATTTTTTCGAGTTGGTTAGAGGATTAATCAAGGAAGGTTATAGGTAATAAAACATCTCACTCGATAATGAGAAATGTTAAGAAAACGAGGAAAATTTTAATTTTTGCGGGCTTCCGTTGCGTTCGCTGCGAAAACAGAGCGAGATACCAAAAAAATAATGAATTCCTCTTTAAACAATCTAAGAAAACTTCTACGACAGTTTATGTCTACTTTTTAAGATCAACTTACAAGATCGACGAGTAGCGAACGATGTCGTTGGTAACAGCCTCTATAAAGATGAAGTGGAGTTTTGCAAAAACAAATTTTGATGCGTAAAATAAGTATTCTACGCAGACGAATTCGCTGACACGGCTAGTACTTCATATTTCGCCGATAAAAAGCAAAATAAACGACAACGGCAATGCAGTTCTGTTGGAGGTTTTAAAATTATATTCAATTGAGGACTAATTACTTAATACATCCAATTATATCATTTGGATAAGGCTACACACAATATTATGTGTCTGTTCCAAACCTAGTGTTTAAACACTGCCTTTTCCCTTGATGCCTGAAGCAGACCTGATAATATCTATACTCGATCTAAGATACTTTGTGCAGCTTGTGACTATGGGTAGAGGATTCCTTGGTCTGACATATTAACTTGGATAATCTCTGTTTGATTTTGTTGTGCACCAGCTGTGCCCGCGACTTCGTTTGCGTGTAATAGTGACTTGGGGTAGAATTCATTATTTAGGCTGTTTATTAATTTATGTAATTGCGCATTTATCGCAGCCAATCTATGTTGTAAGTGCTACTTTGCCGCAACACTCCCACTCCCATTCCTATTCCCAAAAAGCCAAAGAAGAAAGTTTCATTGTTGTAGCTTCAAAAACCACGAATTTCCATACACACTTTTAACCCCTTAAAACTCCCTTTTTACAATAAAAATAGTAAAGTAGTAGCCTATGTCCTTTCTCAGGGTCTAGTTCACCTGTGTACCAAATTTCATTCAAATCCGTTGCATAGTTTTGGCGTGAAAGACTAACAGACAGACAGAGTTATTTTCACATTTATAATATTAGGAGTATGGATACAAAATACCATTTAAATAAAACACTTTAACGGTTTAAAACGCCGATATATTAGTTAAACTTATTTGAAAATGATTTTTAACTTCGGTCCGACGTTTCGGATGCTTTGCAGCAGCCGTGGTCACGGCGGCTAAGTTGTCGGGCCGAAGTTAAAAATCATTTTCAAATAAGTTTAACTAATATATCGGCGTTTAAAACCGTCAAAGTGTTTTATTTAAATGTGTACTACTCGCGTAAACTATAGACAGTATTTAAAAAATACCAACTAAATAGTTCACGCTTGTAGAACACATTCATACTTTTAACAAATCACATTAGTAATTTTTATTTTAACTACGGCTAGACATTTCCACATGACCACAACTACTGCAGAGCATCCGAAACGATAACTAATATATTTCGGGTTTTGAACCGTTAAAAGTGTTTTATTTATATTACCAACTACGCAAAAGGGTATGATTGGGTCGATAACCATATCACTACTACTTAACTCACATCTATGACCTGGGGCTTAGTGATATATTTTTTTTATCTGTTACAGATGTGTGTTCACTGAAACAGTTCCAGTGTGCAAACGGGAAGTGTATACCGATATCATGGGTGTGCGAAGGAGAGAACGACTGCGGCGATAATTCTGATGAAAATATCGAAGAGTGTAAAAAAGGTAAGGCGAACTATTATATTTATTGCATATATTTACAGAGGTTTTTACATGCTTCTTTCCAGCGCATGAAGTATTGGGGAAATAATGTCGGAAAAATCAAATAATAATATATTATTAAAAAAGATGATTTCCTTCTATGCATAGAAGATATTATTCTTATTATAATCTTGACTATAAAGTTTTTTTTAAGCAAGGAGTCATTCAAAATATGTAAGTTAGGGACTATTAATTATGTTTTCATACATTGTAGGATAATGCATAAAATCGCTGGTCAATGGTTAGACTCTGATGCTTAAACTAGCTTCTCGATTGCATTGTGTAATCACTGTCGTGTCTGTCAGCTGTATTTAGCTTCAGTCTCATTGTCTGTGAATTAACAGAATAAGGCACTTCGGTATATTCAACAATGTAACTCCGCAACAATGATTGTTCAAACTATTGCGTTTGCTTACTTAACTTTTTGTTTCCAGTCAATTAAAATTAAACGTCAGTGACATTGGCGTTTTATTTATACTAAGGTCAATATAATAATCGTGAAATAAGAAGTTGGAAGTAATACTCAATTTCGTACGAACACAATTTAGTAAAAGCGAGTCTTTAATTTAAGACAAACATATTTAGAAGATTGTTATTTTCTTTTTCTGTTTCAAAATTATTAATTACATAATTTATTAAACTAAATTCTAAAGCGTAGACGGCGCTGTATAAGAAATTAGAAGACTACTTATTTTGTATGATAGAGGAGGACAGACAAGTGCATTTAAACAAGATGCGCTGTCGATTATTATGGCTTTGCATTATCAACTCGCTTAGGCTAAAGCTTAGTGCTTCTTATATACATATCGTGTCCAGTTCAAGTGATACATACTGTAAAATTAAAAAAATATATGCTTTACCAAAAATTATCTGACAACTAACCCAATCAAAAAGTAATCAAAGAAATAAATGGGAGAATATTTATTTTGGGTAGACATCGCTTCAGTTATTATAGAATAATTGAGACTGATTACGTGCGATGCTTTGATTGGTATTTGGCTTCTTTATTGATGAGAGATGAGTCGCCGCGACGTGGAGGCGCCCTTTTTTTGTACTGCGCATGCGTCACTTTATCATTGCCTAGGCAACTGTGTGAACTTTCTAGATTCTTCGAAAATTAACAAGACATTTAGGAATTCAGGCTTTGTTGCCTTGACATTAATTGTTATATATGGTCAATCATATAAATTATTGGCAGACAAGCGTGTAATTTTGAAATCCAAACTTACACAGACTAAAACCAAAACTCGATTATATTACACGGCTTTTTTATTTGTGGATGATGTTTCATGACCCAGAGGCAATTCTCAATTCAGAATCACTAAAAACAAGTTCGAAATTTATAAGAAACATGAAGCTATTGGGGATCGAACGCACGATTTTATTTATCATATCTACTAATATTTTATTTTAGTAGATATGATCGAAATGTTTAAATCTAAATAGATTTTTAATTTATATTAAAAATCTATTTAATATAAATTAAAATCCTAATCAAAAACATGCGAAAAATCCAAAAGCTTTCAAACCTATCTCCACCGAGTTGTTTATTTAAGAGGTAACCCAAGACTTTTGTGGATATTCTTAAAGGGGGGTGTTGTAGCTGATGCAAAATATAGCCAAGTCAATAAACGGGTCACGTTCGCGCAGTGCCTCCGTGCCTGGAAATGTCCTCATTCGTACATAAGTTGATGACTAATGGCTCAACGTGATGTTCAAACATATATCCTATATGTTTTGCTGTCCCAAATTTGTTACAGAACTTCTCGTATAATACCCCGTTTCGGGTTTAGTCAAGATTAACTCTATTAGATAAAAATTCACAATTTTCCAAACAATATTTAGCCTGACTTCTGATTGAAAATTAGATTAAAAGCTCGAAATATTTTTGTATCTATTTTGGTGTTATCGAATTATTTCAATGTGGAATTTATTGTAATGAGATTTGTATCAAATGTTTGAAAAAATAATAATGTCGGAAAAAGTTAGCCTTATATGAATTATTAGAAGTTTATACTAGGCTCCATAATGTTGAGATTAGTATTTTTCTCGTGAAAAAGAGGAGGTAATCATAAAATCGTCATATTGTATATTATTAACAATGTGTAGTAGCTAATAATCAACGAGTCGTAGATTCAATTCCAACCGAATGCAACCTGTTTCTAATCAATTTATAATTTTTCTGAAAAATGTTGCACTTGTTTGGAAATCCAGGATTTATTATATGGGTGGTAGGAATATCGATATTCCTTGACTGAAAAAGGTCCATACATGAAAAAGCCGTTAAGTTTAATCGTGTTTCTGTTCTAGTCTGTGCATTTCCTAATTCTAAAGTCAAAAAAGGTCGACAGCGCACCTCGTTTAAATGCTATATGGCTAGGGCTATGTTTCACCTTCCATGAAGCCAACTTAATTCTCGTCTGTCATACTCGATACACGTTGATTTAGTTGAAACCAATAGATCCAACTAGAGTAAGCCTCGACTGGTGAGGTGGGTTGAGATTAGTAAAAATGGAATAGATAATATTTGAAAAAAGCATTTGTTAAAATTTTCCCAGATTCCTTCTTTCATAGCCCTTTTTACTTCGTATGCTATTAATGCACGATTGTTAAAGTAAAATATGTTGAGTCTGTGATCCAAATACAGTAGGGATTTCGAGTAGCAATTCAAATGATAGGGGTAGTTAACGAGCATTGAGTGCGTTTCGTTCAAACTCGAACTTCAAAGCGCCTTTGATAAAAAGTTTTCAGTTAATTACGAAGACACTGTATCTTATTAATTAATTACTCGACATTGAAAGTATTCTCCAAAAAGCCTTTTAAATACATTTTCTTTGTAGGGATTTTAAAAATGCATACACGATTTTTACTTTAAAGAGCGTTAAATAGTGTACCTAGATGTTAAACACTATTTAAAAGTTTGGAAATATGTGTAAACATCGAGATTACAACGTACATACTACGTATCTAGTTTTTGGGACTGCTGGTAAAAAATGGTATTAATATTAACCAAAGTTTGGAGACGATTTCGTCAAAGTTTCAACGTATCCAATAACTACGATTTCCGAAAACCCATAAAACTCTAAACCAATCTTGTAATATTCGGGATGAAGGGTGGTAGTAATTGCCGCTATAAAGTTAGGGTGTCTTCCGAGCGCAGAACCGATATCAAATTTTAGTATCTTACAAAGTTTTCGGCTCTAACGAAAAGGAGAAACATTCGCTCACGCAATTTATTTTTAAATTTAATCTACCCGATTGCTTTCGACTATTAAGGAAATTAATGCCGTTTCTGATCCTGAGAGGATTGTTCTCGAATAACGAACGCTACAAAGAAATTTGTTTATTTAAGAGTCCTCGTAAATTATTTATTACAGCAATTAGTGTACGGCGACTGAAATGTCTCTTATCTTGATTGTACTTTTATTTTATTTACGGTTTTCATTTATTAGCTAGATATGGAATGAGTCATGTGATGCCTTTTGTTAGAGCAAATTTTGAATAAATGCAGTGCCACACTCTACATATATCTCTCATTAAAACGAGTGCTTTGTTTTCTCGAGGGCTCTATTGTTTCGAAATATTTTCCGCCGGATTATACTATGCAGTGCTTTTCCGCAGATATATAGCAGTATTTTCGGCAGATGTTCGGCTATTTTCTGAAACCTTAGTCACAAAGGTCGCATAGAGAACGAAAACTTTGTACAATATAATTTTCCAGGGTACTTTGATAAATAATTGTCGCAGGAAATTATGCTTTTTTCGTTTAAATTGGTCCGATATTGAGAGTTCAGACAGCTGCGTACAATTTTACAACATGGCCACCCTCTCTCGACGTGATTCGGTTGACAATATGCCGTCGTTCGAATAAACATAGCCCCGACGAAGCCGTATTATTGAACTGAAAATAATAAACAGTTATTTCATGTTCCTTGTGAAGCATTTTATTATCAGTGTACGAAAACCGCAGCAGTCAATTCTGAATAACTTTGATTTGCAGGAAAACATAATTTATAGATATAGTTTTCCTGTTTCTAAATAGTATTGATTCGTTAATTAAAAGGCAAAATGACGTGTTGATTCGTTAATAACAAACAACAACCACAAAATGTATAAATTCTTTGTCGGTTTGAGTATTCCATTTTAACCACGATGCTAGGAAGACGCGTTTCGAACTCGAACCAGTATGTCAAAGTACCACAAACATACTTGAAATGTTGCTATGGATCCGAATGTCCCAGAATATCAAAAAGATAGCACTGTGTAGTTAGTAATGAAAATAGGGACCCAAATCAATAATCATTTGCCCGTATAATACTAGAACATGAATCTTGTTAACGACGCCCCACCTGTCAGGTTTTACGGCTCAAATAATAAATGCCTCGTAAATGGTCCATTCGGTTTTGTATTCCTGCAAACACGTGCTTGTAATTAGATAACGCCTGGTCACGTTTTCCATTCAATAAATGTAAACATTTCCCGAATTCACACATAACGCGTGATTGTGTATCGAGTTGAGTTGAGAAATTACTTCGAACATTCCCTACAGAACTCTAAACCGCTTCGTGCCTCATTTAAATTACAAAAAAAGTCGCTGTAACTTCTATTTTGTTTCTTGTTTAAAAAATTGTTCTAAACTACTATAGTTTTAATGTACATTAAATTACATTTTTTTTTGCAAATTTCCATTATAGGTAGCCCTGTACTGTGTTTTATATTGGTTTAACACTTTAATGGCCCTCATATGATAAGATAAACATTTATTCGTAATATAACTGTTAATACTGGTCTTATCAAAACAATGACATAATTGTATCGTAAAAATATTAAAATGTATGAAATATTGTATACATATATATAGCGACGTAGTATATTATTTGTTTTAAAAGAAAGCCGGCTGTTGTGTCGTTCAGGAGTTTTTCCATTTGCATTTGTTATAAAGTACGTACGTAAGTCGTTCGTGA